ACCCCTGACCCCTGCCCCTTTCTAACAAACGGATGAATAACCTAACATAAAACAACATAAAATTTGGGAAATCCTGGGAAAAACTAAAAATAATGCTCAAATCAATTCAGGACTTCTTTTTCAATGACATATTTCAAGCAGAGGAATTTTTTTTCCTCCCAGCTATTATAGCACCAAAGGGCTGGTTAATAAATAATTTGAATACTGAGAACTGGACAAAAACTAAAGGAAAAAAAATAAACTTACCTTCACAATTCATCATTGGACCTGGCTCAAATCCTTCATGACAGTTGCACTCAAAACTGCCAATCACGTTAGTGCACGTACCATTTCCACATGGGTTGCCAATTGAACATTCATCAGTATCTGTGTATAATGAATAAATGCAAACTGAAGAGAACTGGGACACATTGCAAAATGTGTTTTAAATTAAAGTCTTACAATTCTTATAAGTTGTGAAATATGGACACACCAATGCAATGTACTCCAGTGTAATCCAAGTTGTATCCCATGGGGCACTCACAGCGGAACGATGCATCAGTATTGATGCAGTGACCGTTTGAGCAAATCCCTGGGCTTTCAAGGCATTCATTCACATCTAAAAAGCAGGAAGATAGGAAGATATTAGCAATCACTTAGCTGATGCATTTCTATATAAAGTCTTAGAAAAACATTTTAAAAAGACTAAGCGCCCTATTCTGTTTGTCTCTAGCCATGCAATTTCAAAGGTAATCTTTTAATTATCAGTTCATAATGGTCCACATTTATTAAAGGTCACCCTCTTGTCACCTGGGGCTGTGGGAAGTAAAGCCAACACATACTATAATATCCAAGGCTAGTTTTAAATATGAATAATTTCTTTTTCAATTATTAGGAAAAAGAATATTTACCTTCACGTGTATCATCAATTCCAGGAATAGTTCCATGACCATATGGACACAGGTCCTGAAAAGCAACTGTAGAGGTATATTTTTTTTAAAGGAGGAGTAAGAGAGAGAACCATGACAGATGGTTAAAGCCATCCAAAGATGTTCTGTATCACTTCTTTCAAAACTGTCAACTGTTTAAATCACGGTCATTATGCTGTCTTGCCAGACGAGTACTTGCAAAAGTAACACTGTCTCTAGGTTGGGGAAGCAGCACTGGAACTCATTGAGCTTCCATGTGCACGTGCTTGGTGACTTCCCCTTTCTGTACTTGGAGAAAACCAAGAACTGAAAACTGTTGACAACTTCAGGGATTCTTGGATCTGTCCCATTTTGCTCTTCTCTTTCCCCTAAAGCTGGCTAGATCTACAGATGGAGGCTACTAGTTCATTTCTCTACACAGCAAAACCAAGAACTCATTATTTCTCTTTTTCTGTGGTTTCTTCTATTTAATTTTATTCTTTTTGTTGACCTGAAAATGGTTCTAAAAAAGTCCATTAAGAGAGAATGCCAAAAAGATCTCTCTTTCTAATGACCTAAAAGGTACAACACAAATGTGGTCTTCTATTTCTCCCACCTAAAAAGGCTTTATTTCAAATCTTGATGTGTACCTTCTTCTTCCTTTGGACAGAGCTCACAAGGATCGCCCCATCCTTCTCCTGGCATTTTACTGCAGCAACACTTTGCCTTTGTGGTGTTGAAAGCCTTTGGCACCGAGCATTTCCCATTCTCAAAGTTGGTGAAACAGAAGCTCTGGCGAGTATCTAAAAAAGAAAATACAGTTATGGGGAGCTAGCACCTCCTGCCTGGTTAGATCATGACTGTCTAGCCCTGAAAGGAATAATGCTAGGCCTGTATTTTTTCATACTATTTTGAAAGCACTTTCCGACCCTCATAAAGGCATAGTTTGGAAGGGACCTGCAGAGGTCCCTTTTTACTCATTCCACAGAGTATCTGTTATCTGTTAGAATAAGGTATTATATTCCTTCATCATTAACTTACCAAAACATCTCCGTCCATTATCAGACAGCACAAAACCTGTAGGACAGATGCACTGGAAACCTCCTGGAGTGTTCGTACAAGAGCCAAAGAGACAGATGTTGGGATCCTCATTACACTCATTAATATCTGTAATTAAAGGAGAAAATGTTCACTGTAACCCCATTAGCTATGAATTCCTTGGTTAAGAAAGACTTTATTAATTTATTTAACTTCAGCATGAGGTGCTCCTCCAATAAAGTCCCCAAAAGATAAAGCAGCCTGAAGGTTCCACTAACTCTTTCAAATTAGAGCATTTTACTGGCATAACTTTCATCTCTAAATACCATTCTCTGTTCTTTGTCACATGTATAATATAAACATTAAATAAATGCTTTCAGACTGAAACAGAGGAGAAGATACATTTCTCACGAGAAAAAATATTTTTCTGTAAACATAAAATATCCAAATATGACTTTTTAAAAATCTGTATGTTGAGGGTTCTTTGTAATTAAATTGGGATTTTTTCATGCTGATTGACTGATTCTTGAACTGAAACTATAGCTAGCTATTAGTAGACGGCAACCTATGATTATATTTATATATTTGGATTTATAGTTACCAGTCTTTCACAGCCAGTCTTGATATGTTATTTAAAATATTTTCCTGTTCAATTGCTTAATTTAGAATATTAATCCCTTTCATTCCGACAAAATGAAAGGAAATATATTAAACGTGCAAGTGAAAACTAAGAATTTTTCTGTGGCTCCCATCTGTTTTGGTTTCTCCTGCATATAATCACCCTGAGCTCAAAAAGTAATCTAGCCATTGCCAACCTTTACAATATAGACAGAATTAATGAATTCTTATAAAGCTGTTTGCATATAAGATTGGTAGAAAGTAATGGGGAACGTATGTTTCAAGAGCTGTCATAATATTAATCAAAGTATTAGTACAATCATACATGATTACCTAGACATTTTCTAGGAATTTTAGCTGCAAATTTTCTGGACACAGGGCAGAATGAAGAAAATAATGCAATTTAGTCCCTTTTACTCAGTTTGGACAAAAATTTGTTTGGCAGTCACTGATACTGTCAAAAACATCAATAAATTCTGTGAGGATACTGAAGTGGCCATAAACAGTGATATTCCTGAAAAAAACAAAAGCTTTCATTTTAAATTCATGATTTTACAACTGTAGATGATTTGAATTAATTTCAAACATAACTGCTAATTTGGAACAGCTGCTGCCAAATGAAACCATGAAGCTGGCAGGCAAACTGAGTATGGTGGCATGAAATAAAAGGATGAGAGAACTCTGGGACTTAGAAAATGCATCTTATTGTTCAAGATAAAAATTCAAAAAGGTTCCTGAGATCCAGTTCCTGCTCCCATATAGATTAGGTGGCTATAGGTCAAATCTTTTATGCCTTCACCAGTGTTTGTTTCAGTCCATACAAGGACAAGCTGCTCATTTATTATGGTGAGTTATTTGTATGAATGTGTGCGTGGGGTGCCACACCAGATAACTTTAGTTATTTAAACTGAAAACCATATTTCTTAATATAGTCACAGTAGGAGGACAGGTGCTTTGTTCTCTGACCAGGCAGAAACCTATGGCTTCTAGGTTAGCTACCTAAAAGTAATTGTGTGCACCTTCCTTGCCAGGTGCCCCACAAAGTTAATTCAAATGCCCGATAAATTCACAGTAGTCCTACTCTTTGTTCTGCTTGAAAAGGGAGCTGTAAATTGGATTTCTCATTCTCCACCACAACAAATCTTAATGCACTGTGTGACATACAGCTCCTGTACGATATTCAAGGCTTTAAAGAGGACTTATATGAACAAACAGCTTTTCCTCCTCCTGTCAATCTCAGCACTTGAAAACAAAACACGAAAACAGTTGTTAGAAGAAACCAATTTAAGCAATTGTTCGCATAGCTCCATAACTTTATCAAGATTTTTAAACTTATTAGTCCTCCGAAACCAGAAGCTTAATTCACACATTGATTGCCAATAATTACCGTTCTGTAAACATTACATAAATACAGTACAGAGGTTGGTTTGTTTCATGAATGGCATTTAGAAGAGAAAAAGTGATTGAAAGACAAAATAGTATTTTTTAAAAGGTAAATATTTTTGTTTGCATTAATGACAAAGTTAATGTAAAAATACAGTACAATACAGTACAAGATAGCTTGCTTTCCATTTTTAAAAACTTTTCCTGGAGACATCTCCTTCTTATTCATGTCACGTCACCATGATTTTAAGTTGGGCAACATTCACAAATGTTAGAGCGTACAACTGTTTTCCACCAAATTAGAATCGCATACTATTTCTAATTTTTAAATTGTTCAGAAATAACAATTACAATTTGCCTTACCCATACAACTTTCACTTTTTACTTCATACCCTGGTGGACAGATGCATCTGAATGATCCTTCCAAATTTTGACAGGTACCAGGAGAGCATGAACCCGGTAGTGCCACACACTCGTTAGTATCTTTGGAGAGTAGAGGGAATTAAGAAAAGTTTAGAATCATGTAATTCTTATGGTAACAAAACAGCCTTATTCATGAAAACGACTGTACTTTTTTTTCTTTTCTCATTTTCCTTTTCTAAGGCACTTAAAGGCTTGAAGATCAACAACTATTCCAAAACCCAGTTACTTCTACTCTGTTTTCATTAAAGTCACTACGTTATTTTTTTTTTTTTTTTAACACTTACTCAGACTGTGGTGCTTCCCTCTGGACGGCAGCTGATAGTTTGATTATTTCAGCTAATCAGTATTTCAATATCTCCATGTGGTATCATACGTACCAATGCAATTCTTGCCATCTAGAGTAAGTTCATATCCTTCATTACATAAACACTTGAAGGAACCAATTTCATTGAAACACTGTCCGTTTCTGCACACCTGACCAAAGAAGGAACTGCATTCATCGATATCTGTAAAAAAAAAAAAAACAAAAAACAAAAAAACCCAGAAGTGAGAGTTGAGCCCTAGCATAGTATCTACAGTATGCTACAAAAACACTCAAGTTGCAATATGTATTTCTGTGGAAAAAGCAAATTTTGCAGCAACAAGGGAACAGCAGTCACTCAGGTGCATTATGATGGATGTTCTAGATGTTCTATTTATGCAATGCTTTTTTTTTATAGGGTAATGTAATTGTCAAACTTGCAGCATTACCTCCACTACTGCATCTGCAGACATTTAATTACTGACAAGTGACTATATGATACTAAATCCACACACAGAAAAGAAAATGTTACATGGAGTGTTCTGGATTTTATCTGGATTTATATGCACTCAAGTTTCCTCCTAAAACCTGCCTTGTCATTTTCAAATTTTAGAATATGTCATTTCCTTTCCACAGTATGACTTTCTTCTTCATAACAGTTCTGAAAATGAGGTTTGAAAATGCTTATTAGTCTGAAGAGTTATGTTAATAATGCAGACTTAAAGGAGCACTGCATAAGAAAAATACAGATGAGAAATGGTCAGAATAAATGAAAAAGATTGGATAAGCATCATGGTGTAAGACTAAGTTACACTTCACTGGTTTACAGTACTTGAATTTGAATGATGAAGACTAACATCAGTTTTACTGAAGAGGTTTTAGTCTGCTTCAGATTTGGAAGCATTAGGTACCTGAAAAAGATGTACTTCAGCCAGTACAGCTGTGCCTGTGTTACTATTCTATTCCAAAGTGCATCTCTTCTGTGTTACAGCTCTACAAGCAGAAATACCTCCAAAGTATTATACTGGGATGGGCTAAATTGCCTTTAAATGACTGGGATAGTTTGGGAGAAAGTCCTGAGGGTCTCCAAGCTGTCAAGAGAAGCGCTAACACAAGGCCAAGTCCCTGAGTCTGCTTGGTCTCCTCAGCCCTCCTGAAGGCACAAGCCTGGAGTAGAGGCACTGGATGCTCCTGGCAGGAGACTGGCAGCTATACTGCCAAGGGAAAGAACTTCCCTGGCAAATAGTGCCATTCTTTGGCTGCAGACTCTTCTTACTTGAAGTAGGTTTTAATTTTCTCTTTCCTGGACAAGGAAAGGATTTAAAATGTTTAAAATACTTACTTAAGACATTTCAGTTATCTCCTGAACCGGAAAGGAACCAATAGATTTGTTCTGTCTTCCTTCTGTAGCAGGAAGGAATGTAAAGCCTTCCTTTCGTTTGGCTTATGCTCTTCACAAGGGAGAGGATCTCCAGAGACCTACGAGCCTGTTCTTCAGCCCAGGAAGATTTTAGTTGCTTTATCACAAATATCCAGGAATTTAAAATGTCCCAAACCATCAGATATTCTGGTGTCCTGTGCTTTAGGGAATAGGAAATAGCAAGGCCTGTATAAACCCTGTATAAGCAGAGTTCATCTTAGGAGAGATTTGGTAACCAGTTGTACCAACTTTCTTAATGCTCATCTGCTTCCTCTTTCACTCTGTGTGAAAGTGTCAGGTAATACGGTGAAATAAAGAAATGATTTTAAATTCGTGAGGCAACGCTGGCGGTGTGATATAATGTATGCTTATTGTGAGTGCTGCCTATGGACTGCACCAGTAGTCAAGAATGTAATTACCCAGAAAATCTAATGGAGATGAGGCCTGCATTAAAATGTCAGTGAACTGTAAGTGCCAGTGATCCAGAGATTTAGGGTCCACATTATCTCAAGCTGGCTAGTAAAAAGTATTTTTAATTAGTTTAAAAAATGATAGTAATGAGTAATCTCTGGGGCTGATAACACTATCAGTTACTGCACTCAATTAGCTTTCTTAGCACACTGACCTGTTTTCTGTTTGAGTTTTAACTATATACCATCTTCCTCGGCATACCAAGCTCAGCCACAATGAAAATAAAGTTCGGATTACATCACCTACCCATACAATCATTATTATGAGTTAATTCAAATCCTGGATAACATAGGCAGTTATATGATCCAACTGTGTTTTTACAGGTTCCATTTCCACATGGATGGCGTTCACATTCATCAACATCTGCAAAGAGAAACAAAACTGTACGTGGGAACCGATTTTCCAGGTATGTGTTAATGTGTTATCTGTAAACAGGCACAATGTTCTAAACCTCAGTCTCTCCTTCCATGTGTCACATTTTCTATTTATACTACTGATTTTTAGAGCTTCTGGGTACACACAGGAAAATGTTATAACACATTTTCTATATATATTTTAAAATAAAAGATACTTTTACCTGCAAAGATAAAAGTAAATGCATGTGCAGTATCTCAAAGCACTCTGTCTTTTTATTTTTCATACTAACAGTTCTTAATTTCTTAATGTATGCTAGTGATCAGAACTTAGTATACAGGATTGAACATCACAGCCTTGGATCTATTTCAAATTTTATGTACCTATTTTACTCTTAGCCCACGAAAACCTGTTGAAAAAGCTCTATAAAGGAGTTTTGAGTCATTGTTAACAAATCAATTTATATACGTAAACACATTATATCAATAATACATCCAGAATTATAAAGACTGCTTACAAATTCTTGGAAACATCTGTTTTTAAAAGTCACTAAAATGCAATGTTTCCTGCCGTGTTTCAGTAATTTCTGGAGCTTCATGGGAATCTGGAAGGTATTTAGATCTTATTCTCCTAGCTCTTGTAGACTTTCTGAATTTTTTTTTTTATTTACAGGAGGTAAACATTTTGTCATATGGATCATTTCCATTGCCTAGATTTGTATGTCATACTATGAAATTCTTAAAATTACTTTTAGAATGACTTAAGTTATTGTTTTGAGTAACCAGGCTCTCAAAATTTTGCATTTTTAATACAAGTCACTTTCCCAAATACCTTCCTCAGATGGTTTGACAAACGTGATTTAGTCAAAATATGAGAAAACTCAAGGGTTATATGAATATGTAATACAACGTGAACGTTTTAAACATTTGTTTAAAGTTGAAATTGCAACAGTCCTATTATAGAAGGCAGTGAACTTCTCTATAGCTTAGAATTGACATTTAGATGATCATTATTTCAAAAATCAGAATAGTTTTTTACTTTTTTCTCAAAGAGAACCAAATTCACATAGGCATCACCTTTTCTTTTTAAAACCTGTAGAACTGATTATGAAACAACAAAAGAACAAGAAAAACACTTATTTTGCAAACTTATTTCTTCTATTACCTCTATCATGTCATCGTTTTAATACAAAATGAGTATAGATTTAAGTTACACTCAAGGTAGGATTCTGTTTTTTAAATGAAACATGAACCAAATACATTTCTAAATAATTGTAAAATTTTTTTTAATCTCTAAACTCTATCACTCTGTGATATTGCCGTATAGTCTTCTCTGTCAAATAAGCCACTATGATGTATTTTTGTGAAAACAGGGTTAATATATTCTTCAGTAACACGGAGCTATATCTGACAATCTATGATTTTTTTCCCTTCGAACTGATATATCCACTCCAAGGACAACTTCATATACTTTATTCACAAAAATCAAAAATGTATTAATCACTTTTTTAATGTCACTATAATCTCCTTGAAAATTTGGACTCATTTCCTCCCCTTTAAAAAAAAAACCAAAAAAAACCCCAACAAACAAAACACACACAAAAGCATTTTCTTTCCATACCCATGCACATAGTCTGGTCTTGGGATGCCTTAAAACCATTGTGACATATGCACTGGTAACTTCCTTGCATGTCTACACATAAACCATGACTGCAAACATTAAGAATTTCCAGACATTCATTGCGATCTGTAACAAAAATGTAAAACAGATGGTACATATTATTGACTTTCATTATTCATTCATTTTACACAAACATGCTTTTATTATTATCTGTTATTATTATTAAAACCAGACTCAAAATCACCCATAACTAAACCTGAATCATAACAAAACTTCATTTTATAGGAACTTCTTGCCTATACTCCTCGAGATCAAAACTACTGTTAGGATTTGGTTGATACATCAAGATGTTCTTTAAAAATTTTACTCTGCCTTTTCTTCCTTTCTACAGAGAAATAGGGCTATAAATTGAAAACTGTTACATAAAACAGTAGAATAAGCAAGGTAACAGAAAATAAATGATGCTTTTCCCCCCTTTTGAGAAAACCACACACATACCACTGATTAGGTACAAACAGATGAGAAAAGTCAACTGATTTCTTACCAACACAGGCACCGTTGGGTGAGAGTTTAAAACCAGCAGCACATTCACAGCGGTAACTACCAGGACTGTTGATACAGTCTGCATTTCTCTGACAGAGATTGTCTCCATTGCCACACTCATCAATATCTGAAATACCAAGAAGCATGGTTCAGACATCAGAAACCACAAGATAGTTTCTTCTGCCTAAAATTTAGACTACTGTCTGCCTCGTGCAAGATGAATCTTTCGTCCTCAACAATGCATAAATATTCAGACCTTCAGCCTCCTGGGCCGTAAATTCAAAAGAAAAGCAAAATCAATACAATTTCATCCATAACACACCTTTTGGATGAAGGAGGATCCTACAAATCCATCTTACTACACATTGAAGTAGCTTTGCAATTTTAAACATCTGCCTAAAGAAATTAGTTTACTTATTAAGAAATGTTCCTCTTTGCCTTTGAACTGAAATAGTAAGTAAGTGGCATAGTTTGCTAGCTTTTTAAGGTGCACGTCAGCACAAGACCCTTGAATATCAATGACAAAACTATTGACTTTAGGACAAACAAAAATGCACTACTAGCTTTCATGAATATCTCTACCTATAAACTGTAGAAGAACACACAAGATGGAAAAAATTAAGGAAACTTTTATTTGAGTAAGTTTTCAGAAGCATTGAATTTCCTTCCTAAAATTAAATAAAATTAAATAAAAGCATTGCCCCTCTGCTCTGCCCTCATGAGACCCCACCTGGAATACTGCATCCAGCACTGGAGCCCCCAACACAAGAAAGACATGGAGCTGTTGGAGCGAGTCCAGATGAGGGCTACCAAGATGGTCAGAGGGCTGGAACACCTTTCCTACAAGGACAGGCTGAGAGAATTGCGCTTGTTCAACCTGGAAGAGAGAAGGCTCCAGGGAGACCTTCTAGCAGCCTTCCAGTACCTGAAGGGGACCTACAGGAAGTCTGGGGAGGGACTTTTTACAAGGGCCTGCAGTGAAGGGATCGGGGGTAATGAATGGTTTGAAGCTGGGAGAGGGCAGGTTTAGACTAGATACAAGGAAGAAGTTCTTCACCCTGAGGGGTGTGAGACACTGGAACAGGTTGCCTAAGGAAGTTGTGGATGCTCCATCCCTGGAAGTGTTTAAGACCAGGCTGGATGGAGCCTTGAGCAACCTGGTCTAGTGGGAGGTCTCCCTGACCATGGCAGGGGGTTTGGAACTAGATGATCTTTGAGGTCCTTTCCAACCCAAACCATTCTGTGATTCTATGAATTTACTTCCTATTTAGGAGTTGGTGAATTGCTTGACACAAAACAATTAAAAATTTTATTTAGTGCATATGCATATGTATGTCACGGTTTAACCCCAGCCAGCACATCACAAAACTGATTTACAAACTTGTAAAATTTTGTAAATTTTAGAAACTTCTGTATATTTTAAAAACTAGAAAAAAGCTCACATCTGTCTCTTAGGTTTTGAAGAACGTGTGAATTAAATGTTCCCATTCCCTTTAAGATAAGCATGCTTATGGGGGCTAAGTAGAAAATAACGGAATTTCAAATCACCTTCACAGACCAAGAGTAGGTCATTGTAGCTGAATCCAGTGGGGCATTCACAGCGGAAGCTGCCAATCTGATTGATGCAAACACCATTTGCACAGATTCCTGGGATTTCCTTGCATTCATCAATGTCTGAAAGTGAGACGAGCTAGTCAAAGAACAGTACTTCATGGCTTTATATACTGCTTGGACTCTAAATTTCACTATGCTTAAAAGTGAGTTGACAAGTTCCTTTTAATCTACAGAAATTGTATACAGGATATAAACCTAAAAGTATGACCATTATTAGAGAAAATAAACTATGCGAAGTTCAGGAACTGATCAAAAGAGAGTAATACTATATATTAGACAAGATGCAGGACTGTTACATATGTGCAAATAAGTTCCACAACAATTTTGAAACCAAAACTTTTTATCTCACCAATTAAAACTCAAAACCATGAACTAGGATGAAGGGTGAGCAAAACGGCATAACAAAATGTAGAAATAAAAAATATAAATCAGAAATATTTTATACAAAAATTTGTCTCACAATTTATGTCACCACTGTAACTCCATAATGAAATTAAAACTTTATTATATGAAATGTTCATTTTGGTACCATTACGCATCTGCAACAACCTTAAGTAAAACAATTTTTGTTTTAAATTAAGTTTAGTGAAACTTACCAACAGCTTTTCCAGTATGAATGTCAAAAGTGAAGCCAGGAATGTTCCCACATATGTTCTTGAATTCAGCTAGAGCAGAACAGAAAACAATGCATTTTTAGTGAATATTTACAAATCTCCCAAGAATTACTTGTAGTCTCAGCTTTTCAAAAGCTGATACAAGCCAAATCTACTCAGAAGAGCCATTACTTACCATACAAATTGTATTGAAAATTCAGACTGCCAATAATTGAATGCAAAGTGAAACACTAATTCATATATCTCTCAATTCTTTGCAGACTCTCACAGAAGTAAATGTCTGGTTTGAGAAAGCAGCACTTCAGTTTTTGATTCTTTGATAACTTACCTTTTAAAGTTTATTCCTGCTTTCTAGACATTTGTAGAGAGAATCTGCAGCAATAGTTTCAGGTGGAAGAAATGAATGTAACTTACGCATACTTAGCCTTCTTGGACCACACTATCTCTGTTCTTTTCTGCAGAGATTACTCCAGTTTAGTTACATTAAACTGTAGAGTGGAATGGACATTCTGCTTTAAAAAAGGTTGCTCAAAAAACCCCAAAACATTGTTTTGGTATGCTCATTTTATATCCTCCTTACCAGAGCATCTTCTGGATGGGAAATGCACAGTATGAACTATAAAATCAATGAACCTATGGGTTTCCAAGCAAGGTATATGAAGTTGAGTGGATTTGCAACATACAGAGAAAAATTTCTAGCATGGAATCTATTAATTATTGCATCTATACTGGCATTAGATTTTACTGGTAAAACAGTGCTTTCCAGAATAAAATGTATTACACATTTACTGTACAGTGATAAATTTTGATCTATGTAGAAATATGAAAAATGACAGGCCTACAACTGTAACTATGTCAAATTTGTAAAATACTGACTACCAGTAGAATTGTGTATTGAAAGCCACTTGTTTGAGGGAGGCAAAATAATTCTAATGTGAAGACACAACCAGTTTGAATGAATAGTTTGCTTTAAGCATATGTTTGCAAACAATAACCATGCAGCTGCTATTTCAGCACCTTTTCAGATCATATCAGCATTCAAATTTTCCAGAAAAAATATTAAGTATCTTTCAATATTAAGTTTCCAAACGACTCTTAAGGAAAAATTCCAAAGCATGCATTAGGTATTTGTACACCCAAAGTAAAATAACCTTCTAAAGAATGTGGGTAAAATTTACAAAAATGTCCCATTGACATAAAATTCAAAGAGGTTCCAGTAGTATAACACCTGGAGACTTTCATGAGCACTTGGTCCACAGTTTGTGCTGCTGAGGATCCACAGAAAGCCCATTATCTACCCAATGAGAGGAAGCATGTGGAGTCTGCCTTTAACTCAGCTCTAAACCTGAAATGCAGACAAATTATTAGGCATCTCTTCTAGCACCCTTCCATTTTCCTGTGTCTAATGATCTTTAATTTAGAGCGGTGATATTTTATTTTTCTGCTGCTTGTAGTTTGCGTTGTTTGACTGTCTGCACTTTCATGGCAGCTCTTCAGTAGCTTACAGTTTTGTAAAGTTTAACCACTGGGGTTATAACTTGAATAATTCTTGTCTCCCTTACACCAAACATTCTTATTTATTAAAATTTCAGAAATGTAGTTTATCATTGCTCAGAATGAGATTTGGCAAAATATTTTTCTTACATTCAAACATTCTTTGTTACTTTCTGTATGAGCCAAGAAGGATCCAGTATATCTGAATTTCAGCATTTTCTTCTTTCGTTTGTCTTCTTGTTAATGATTGCTTAATGCCTACCGAGGTTATTCTTGCAGTACAGAACACTGGGTCACAAGAGTTCCCTGCCCCAGCAATTTCCTTCTCTTTTATATTAATACGTATAAGATTTGAGGGTTAGAAAACTGTTCTTTTGTGCAAGGAGCTTTATGCCATTTACCACTGTCAGTAAACCTGCGAAACAGACATACTAGGTAAAAAAGAGGGCATTGTGTTCACCACCCTGTGTCTCTATGGGTGATGATAGCCTACTCCTGTGGTAACAACACATCAGGGCTGGGAAGACAAAGAAGAGGCTCTAAAGGTTGCCGGCCTTCTTTCATTCTGTGTTATGCTGCCTACATGTTCCACACATTCCATTTAATAGAGTTTTTCTGTATTTTTTTCAGTTTGTACTGTGTAGAAAAAGAGCATATAAGGACTGTACGATGATGCATTTATATACAGTGCCAAATTATCCATACACAAACATGCCAGATTTACTTTCTGAAAGTATGACTTTGCATCAATAACTTAAAAAGAATTTCAAAACCCCATATACTTATCACTATATTATTTTTTAGGACAAAAAGATCTACACATTAACAGGAAAAAACCTCTCTGAGGTCAAGCATTCCAGAAATGATCAAACCATGAAAGAGCTCTGTAAATACTTGGTTACCTCTTAGCAGTGAAGCAGCTTTTTACACTTCTTTGGGTGAAAACCCAACCAAACAAGAATGATTTTTTTTTATTAAATTCTGTATGGTAATGGTTATGATCTGTACAATGTGTAAAACAAAACAATACAGTCTTTACTACCTAAAGTCATTTTGACGACTTTAGGTAGTAAAGACTGTATTGTTTGGTTTTTACAAGCATAAATGCATGAAAAGGAAGAAAGAGCTCTTTTTCCTTTTCACAAAGGAAAAAAAAATGCAAATGCATTGGCATGTGAAGCTTATTTAAAGGAACAGTATCATTCTCATCAGAGCAGAATAATGCTCTTAATGAGCTACTAGGCTCAGTCTAGCAAACCAGTTAAGGTCAGTGTATCATAACCCCTGTCTGTGATATGTAGCTCCCACGCAGATTTCAGAACAGTTGATTATAGCACACAAATGCAGCTATTCAACCATTTACACTTGGAATTTGTGTTTGATCCCTCACACAATCTCTTTTCATGGTAAAAAAGGTTCAACCATGTCACCAAATACACTAAAGGCATTTAGAAGAGCTAACAAGGCAATGTTGAAATATTTCAGGAAATATTTTAACCCCGTAAATGCTTGCAGGCTAAGTCAAGTTGTCTTAACAAATCTTTAAAACCTGCAGGTTTTTTTAAGAACTTCAGTCTTACCAATTTAAAAGCAGAATTCTTGCTTCCATCCAAGAATATTAATTGCATGATTCCCTGCTAATATTTTGCTGTATTTTTCTCATCAGGTTGTCATCATGATGACAATTTTATAGCACTGAGAAATGACTATGGGAAAGAACTTTATGAGCTCTCTGTGATAGCAAACATGTATTTCGTCTCTCAAGCCTATTTCCATCTCCCATTCCTGACTGCTAGGAACATTCCATCATTCTCCTTCCTCCTACTTAAGAAAGAAAAGGAAGAGGCTGTTTTTTCTTTTCAGTCCCATTTTCCTCCTCTTTACTGCTTGGGGGGGAAAGTCTTTCCTAAATTACCTGCTATTTTCCTTATGTCACCAGGATAAACCACTTGGAATGAAAGTAATACATTCTTTACACTAACATCACAAATGATGCAGCACCAGAGTTATGGGTTTAGTGGCAGTAAACTTGGGGCAAAGTCAACTAAACAATAAAATGTGTTTGTACTGAACACGCACCTGAGGTTTTTAGTTTTATCTAGGCACCTTTTATCTTTTTGCAAATGTAAAAATCTTTCAGTGAAGGCCAGGTGCTACTGTCAGGTTTTCAAGTTGGTGATTCTCCCATCAATGATTTTTCTGAGTTGAGCTTTCAAGGTTGTTTTGTTCCAGGCAAGGAACTCCACAAAGATTAACTGAAAAAGAACTATACCTTATTATTTTCGCCTCCCTTTACAGAAGGGAACTTTTACTTCCCTTTACAATATCCTGCTTATTGAGCTTTTGCAAGTTCATCACCTTCAATAGAAGAAATGTAGAACCAATGGAGAGGATCATGCTCAGATGTGAGATACAACTGAAAAATCTAGAAAGGCACTACAGTCAGTAATGACACTCAGTCTTTTTGTTCTGATGGATTAGGAGTACCAGGATAAATGTATATCCAACTATGCAGTAACTAAATTATACTATCGTAAATTAATTATCCTTGAAGACAGACCAGACAGCTGGCACCTCCTGTCAGTCAGCATCTTCAACCCCAGTATTACTGCCTGATGACTGCTTTTCCATAAACCTCAAAGTGACAGCTTTAGAGATGGGTCTTATGTAATCACACATTTAGAAAATTTGCTTATGCCTACTGCCCCACCCTGGTGGGTCTTACCTACCCAAACAGGGACTTTTGATGGCAAATCTAAATAACTGAAAGTAATCCACACAAGACCTCTGAAAGCCATGGTATTTGTTAGAAAGAAAGAATAAATCAACCACAGCATACTTATTGTATAGAGATCCATCACCTATAAAAACGTCTCAATAAAAGTCTCAATAATTAGATCTACCTACAGATACCTGTCTTACAACATCCTTTTAGTTACAGGGCTGACATACTCCTGCTGCTGTTGGGAAGGTCAGTCTGTACTTTTCAGGCCTTTTCATTCATCTTAGCGACACCTGACAGTAGTTTGTTCCCTTAGCCTTGCCTTCAGGGGCAGCTGTGAGAGAAAATATGCATTTTCTTCCTAATTTCTTTTTCTTCATCCAGGGGGTATGATTGGTGCCTTCAAACTACTCAAGCTGTATCTTTCCAGTCAATATGGAGTGATACTTCTTCCACTTAAAAATACTGAATAAATACCTATACTTCTTTAGCACACCAAGACTTAATCCAACCAGTGATAGGATGGCAGGGTATTGTCACTCTGGTTTGCGAGTACAGCAAAGGTTTTTTTTGGCTGAAATGTTATTTTAGCTAATAGGTCAAAGGAGCAGATCACCAAACAAAGTAACAAAATGGGATGATTATAGTACCTGTTCCTGGAGTTGGACATGGTTCACAAGGTTTGTTCCAGGCTTTCCCAACATTATATGTGCAGCAACACATCCTTTTGGTCACGTTGAAGGGCAGTTCATTCTCACAGGAGGTTCCATTATAGCTTCTGTAGCAAAAGCTTTTCCTCATGTCTAGATGTGAGAAAAGAATCACTTACGAAGTAACCAACAAACTAACTGAAGTAAGTATCAACTCCCTACCAACTTAGACAGTGGTTCATTAACTCTGGCTTCTGAATGCAACCCAAGAACATGCATGGATGCACTCAGAAATAATTTAAGCATTGAAATAATTGACAGTCTTTGTTTTACAGTCATCTGAAATTTGATATATTTTCAGTTTTCATTCAAATAACACAAAGGGGAAAAAGGAAGATTTCCAAGAAATCAGAAACACGTTGTAGATGCTCATCAGATCCATTTTTATAGTAAACCCTACCATTTGGAAACAACTAGTGAAAATAAAAAAAGCTTTCTGAGTTCTGTTAAGGAATAAAAGCACTTGAGCACTGCATGTCAATCACTGGGATCTCTTTCCTGGCTACATGACGTATCTGTCTGCGAGTTAAAGCTAGGAAAAAGCAGTACAAGGCTTTAGAACCGGCCTCATCTAAAAGAAAACCTTAAGCAGGGAGTCTGGTTCCAAAATAGTCCGATATTCCTACAGTTCTAGTAAAGATGACATTTTGCATACCCATGCAGTTATGTCCTCCGTTCACCTGCATATATTCAGGTGGGCAAATGCAGGTGTAGTTCCCCAAAGTATTGTAGCAGGTGCCAGGACCACAGACACCAGGATGTGCAACACACTCGTCAATATCTAGAGACCAAGCAAAACCACTATAATTAACAAGAGAAAAGAGGACCAAGTCCTAGCAAATGTTTCTAGGAAGTATGACCACAACAAATCACACTAAGATAACAAAAATATTTAAACAGTATCTTGGAAAGTACATCCCAGATTTGGGTTAAGTAGCTATCGTAACAGCCGCTGGAAAGCAGTATTGTTAACCCCTATTAAGTCTAGCCAGTGAAGTACAAGAGAATACCCTAAATAAATTCAAAATTGTTCAGTCATTGAAACTAGACCACCTTGTGCCCAATGAGTTCCACAAAAGACATTCACACCCTCTTCTTGCAGGAATGTTACTGTCACTTTTCAGTTCTGTTAACGTGTTCACTATTCCACTGAGAAATGACCTTTTAAGTACTCTGTTTAGAAATAGGCAAGGTGAATAATCACATAGTCTTGCTGCTCTAACCTTCTTATTTGGACCTTCTTATTTAAGGTATTTGGGATGTAAGCCTTTTTTGCCCATACAATTTTAATTTCAAACCCAGTTTGGTCGGTTTTCTTCACCTGAGCTTAGCAAAGCATCAGGATCCACAGCGTCTGTTTTGAATGGAGACAATTTTTTTTTCTTACGAAGTGAATGAAGAAGGGGAAGCTGACTTACAACACTACAAACTGGGAAAGTCATGAAAGATTCTTTACATTTTTGATTCTAACACTTATGACAAACCTCAAACACAAAGGAAAACCAATATTAACCTTACGTTATGTCGTGTAATTTAACTACCACTCTGAAATACTGCGAAGAGGACATCTTTTCTTACTGAAATTACAGGGAGTGTAGCGAAACTAGCAGGAGATACAAGTTGTTGAAGTGAGAAGCCAGAAATCAAGAATAACCACCTTAGTTTACTGAATACACATAGATGAGATTTATCACATAGAAATAAACATTAGTATATATAAGTGTTGCATTTCAAGTTTTATATTAATCATATCACTGGTGCCAAAGATAATGATTTTAGAGAAGATGTTAGGTAAAAGTGTGGGTACCATATCCACTTATGGATTTACGACTAAAAATGACAGTGTTTTTCACAATAACTACACTGTGATACAGTAGGAGGTTTCAAGGGATTCAACCTTCACAGATTCTTGTCTCTTCGCTGAGGTAGTAGCCTTTCGGACATTCACACTGGAAGCTGCCAAAAGTATTGATGCAATTTCCACCTTGGCAGAGACCCGGCAGTTCCTGACATTCATCAATGTCTGAAAACAGAGAACAAAACCAACCATACTTTCATTTCAGACTGAAAAGAAACAAGAAACTTTAAATACTCCCCTGAAATTTTACCAACTGGTAGCTTTTAACTGTCACACAGATACTTTTTTTGTGTGCCTAAATTGCACTTCCTGAAAGCATGGATGAGATGCTCTTTCTATTCCACTTAAATAGCTCTTCAGGAGCATGTTTCAGCTTGATGAGCCCATGGAGTTCAACTTCCATTACTGTTTACAGGAATTTGGCATCTAATTCCTCATTCCTGCACACTCATTGTAACCAGAGTTTCCTTGTCCAACGAATATTTCCGGAAACTTATACCTTCCGCTGATAAGCTATAATTTTCATAAATTACTTACCCTTCAGGGGCCAATTTCAAAGGCCAATTCCAGTAAGAAGGCACAAAAAAGGTATGCATCAGCTTATTTTTCTGCTGAAACATTGTTGGACTTCTTCAATATTATTTTACAATATGCCTTTTCATCATGTTGTTGTCCAGTTCAAATTAGCAGAGGGTTTTGCTTTGCACTAAATGTAATGATTTCTGCAAAATACAATTCCTGTACACCTGGCTCCTAAGATGACACTTTTTTTTTATTACCAGCCATAACAGGCATTTATGATAAACTTACCTTCTAAAATAATAGTGATGGGATTTGGTCTGAATCCTTCTCCCCCTGGACAGAGAGTATTATATTCCGCTAAAGTACAGCAAGAGAGAGCATGTCAGTCACACGAAGATCAAAGCGCTAACACAAATTCATTTGCGTTTTTAATGAGTCTTTTTTTCCTACACTCCTTGATTTTCCACTCTTCTTGACCTATTCACAGTAAATAAAGCAAGTGCATTACATTACTAGAAAATCAAGGTAAGATTAAGAGTTCTGTTCTAAAGTATTACCATAACCTCAGCTACTCTTAAGGCAGGCACAATGTTGTTTTCTCCATATTGTGCCCTTATAAATGCACATATTTTCCATTTTCAGTAGCTCTTTAATACGAAATGTCAGTATACCATCAATAAAGATATGTGTTAAAATTGGAATTCATACTATTGTGAGACTGTTAAGAACATGCTTGACATTTGTGTTGCATTATTCATTCAAAGAACTTCAAAGCTGTACAAAATTTAAAAGTATCATCAGGTAATAGTTTGAAAGTACTCAAGGGTGACTTAGAAATAGTTACCAACACTGTTCCTTTGAGAACTACTGTAGCTCTCCAAATTAAAGGCATGATTTGAGTTCTAAGGATTATTAATTTCTTTATTTCCCCACCAACACAGCGTGGCTGAGTAAAAATTCCTAGTAGATGAATGCAATCCATTCCATTGTTAAGACACATAAGCATCTCATTTTTTCTTAATGGGAGGAAGGTAAAAGCAAAAAAAATACAGTGCCTGAAACTACCCAAAGTACGTGGGCCTGGGCCAGTGGGAGGTGCCTTCTGAAGTTACCACTGATTATTACTGTAAGAATAGACATCAAGTCAGTCACAGAAGACTAAAGGACAAGTCTTCTGATACTCACGTCCATACCTCTGCATCACCCTTTTGAGAGCAGCAGGGAGGCTTTCTTTTATAACTGTCCCAGAACACTATCTCATGAAGAAAATCAGTTTCTTCAATGACAAATGTATAGTAACACAGTAAAAGATTTCAAATACTTTTTCAATACCTTGTTAGC